TCTCCTGACCTCGTGATCCGCCCGTCTCGGCCTCCCAAAGTGCTGGGATTACAGGCTTGAGCCACCGCGTCCGGCACTTTTTTGTAATTTTTAAAAAGCTTTCTGGCTTTCTTATATAACAAGATGTTTTATGCTTATGTTATATACTTTCTTACCCAGACCAGAATCAGCCGTTTCTCTAAGAAACTGTGGGTCCCTTTAGAGGGAAATGGCTTTGGAGACCACAGTCTAGGCACCGGGGAACCCACTGTTAATGAGAGAGTCTTAAACATTTTATCCTGATTATAATACGCATAACTCACAAAGTCTAGGTTGGGTCTTATTTCATTTCTTATTTTATTTGAATTATAAAAATGCTCTTTCTTTAATTCCTTCGGTTTTTGTTGCAATCAGTTGTAAAAGTGAGTTAAGTCAACAAAGAATATTAATGCAAAAGATTGCCCCATCAGTTTAGAGTTGTAGGAGGAAGATAATGTCACACAGTTTTTATACACATATATTACTATAAAGCATCTGAAATGCAAATATTTCTTATAAAATTTGAAAAAAACCTAATACATTCAGACCATTGCTCTCAATGTGATAGAGAACATGTTTTAAAGAGTCTGTTGATTAATTTTCTTTTTAATGATTTAACTTAATAGTATTTAAGATTAAGTATTTTTTTTCTTTTTTAGGTTTTCATTCATTAGCATATTCTCCTGCATGTAGCAATGGTCCTAAAATAACTGATTTAAAAAGGATAGATAGAGGGGCATTATCTCATTGAGAAGTGCTCTTCAGCATACAGATTTAAACAGATAATACTAATTTCTGTTTGTATTTTTTTTAAGGATCCTTTAGGGAAAAGACCCAATCCTCCCCCTGTTTCTGTGCCCTACTTGAGTCCTCTAGTACTCCGTAAAGAACTTGAATCTTTGCTAGAAAATGAAGGTGATCAGGTGATTCATACATCTTCTTTCATCAATCAACATCCAATCATTTTCTGGAACCTCGTTTGGTATTTCAGACGTTTGGACCTTCCTAGTAACTTGCCAGGACTTATCCTCACATCTGAACATTGTAATGAAGGTGTACAGGTAGGGTGCCAACTTTTATACTTACATTAGTATTGGGTAGGATGAGGCTTAACCTCAAGCTCCTGAAAGTATACAACAACAGTTGCTTAACAAGACAAGTTTATTTCTCTCTCAGTTAAAAGTTTGGATAAACAGTCCTGGAATGGTAAAATGTTAGGAACCTAAGATCCTTCTATATTTTTGTTTAGCTATGCATAACCTCCATTTCCAAGTTCTGCTTCTGGTCCAGGATGGCTGATTACCTCCAAGCTGTCACATCCACCTTCTTTCTATCCAGCAGTTAGGAGAAAAATGGATGAGGGAAGAGTATGTCTTTTTTCTTAAGGGATAGCTCCTGGAGTTGTAGATAATATTCCAACATACAGTTTCTTGGCCTGAACTCAGTTATTAGGTCGTATCTGTCTGCAAGGGTAGCTGGAAAATGTTGCCCAGGCTGGAGTGCCATGGTGTGATCTCGACTCACTGCAGCCTCCTTCTTCTGGGTTCAAGTGATTCTCTTGCCTCAGCCTCCCGTGTAGCTGGGATTATAGGCACCCATCACCACATCCAGTTAATTTTTATATTTTTGGTAGAGACAGGATTTTACCATGTTGGCCAGGCTGGTTTGAACTCCTGACCTGAGGCAATCCACCTGCCTTGGCCTCCCAAACTGCTGGGATTACAGGCGTGAGCGACCGTGCCTGGCTGGTAGCTATTATTCTTTTTTTTTTTTTTGAGACGGAGTCTCGCTCTGTCGCC